ACCACGTGGGCTCTGCGCAGATTTATGGGGCATCTTATAAATTAACTTGCTATCCATTGTCAGATCTTTAGACACCACTTCACAATGTCTTATCTCATTCATATTCTAATAACGTCTTTACTTGATCCTCATTATATTCCATTAAACCTAACATTTTATAGCTCTATGAATTTGAATTCGACTTATTCTATTCCTATTCTCTGTAGGGTACGACTGTGCACCAAGTAGACAAAAAGGTATGAAATAAAAACAACTGGCTTGAAAATAATTTTATTGAAGCAAAAGTGACATCATGATAGTACGAACTATATAGGTAGCACTATACATTGCAAATGAACGTTGTCAGCCTAGGGATTAATTACTTCCCCATTCTGTTTCCTATATAAATGTATTTATTAATGATACATTGCACTTACTTAATTTATTACACTTTAATGATTCCATTAGCACTTTAACTTTTCTAAAACAGCTTGCAGTCCCTTGCAAACGTTTACTTACCTCAATACTGGTTGGCTATCGTATGCCTACAGCCACGGGATGAAAACGAAACGAAGTCGATTTTCCCGCTCAACCTGGAGGACAACTGTACAATTCAATAATTATACGGCCTGGTTCAGACAATGAGTGTAATTATATATATATCAAATGTTTGACTGTTGAAACATTATTAACTTGTAGACAATCTAAGATTAGACATTATAACATACTTGATCGTGCCTGTAAAAATGGCATGCATTTTCATGTAAATTTATGTTTATATGAAAATATAAATTATTATTATTATATGGTTTATTTCGGAAACCAACCACTCTTTTTGTTGCTTTTCTTTGGATTCTTTCCAAGACGTTGGCGTCTCTTCTAAACGGCGAGTGTGCAATAATATTCTGCACTTCAAGGTGTGGTTTGACGTATGTTTTATGCAACCTTAGTAAGGGCTGAGGAGTGAATGCACCTAACCATCTATCTGCAAAGTGTATGACCGCATATTCTGTCGCTACGTTCCCCGTGTAACATACGCCTGTGTCCAATTTTCCGTTAGAACTAGACCTAAGGTTCGTTCCAAGGTTGTGCAGGACAAAGTTTCACTGCACAGGGTGTAACTCCCGTTCTGCAATCTGCAGGTGCGTAACTTCAATACTTTGCAAATTTTCAAGTTAAAAGTCATGCCAATGGTAACCGTACAGTCTTCCAAAAACATTTAGATATTCATGTAGATGATCTGAGTCCTCCACACAATATGGCCCCACAAACATTCACGTCGTCAGCGTAAAAAAAGTCGGGCAGGTTCAGTGACATGGTAGATAATTGATAAAAGTCAAATCATCAGTGGCGTCAATGCAGTTGAAGATTGAACGATCGATTCATGGTTGTTTGCTCAAAACCAACTTCCACAAATTTTCGCGGAGGCATC